ATTTACTCAAGTGGACAATATTATGTTAAGTGCTTTATGGCTTTCTTGAAAGGCTCAATTTATTTATAAACTATTGACAGAGTCAATAAGTTTATAATGGGCCACATGTAAAAATCAATTTCCCTGGAAGCAAAAAAAAAAAAAAAAAAAAAAAAAAAAAAAAAAAAAAAAAAAAAAAAAAAGAAAAAAAAAGTCATCACAGCAACAAATTGTGGCCTTTTGAGGAGGTAAGTGGATGTGGTAGATCTACTCAAGGCAATGTTACTTGGCCATTTATGTAGTAAAAGGGAAACTGTGAGCTAAGGGACAATTTAGGAGAACTATACATACATATATATATATATAAAATTTGATTGCTCTTACAAAGTTGACACATCACAAAAGCATCAGTGTGCCACGTGAGGATGGGTCTTTAACCTCCTCATGCAAGGAGAGCTATTAAATTTTGGAGGCTGTTCTTCAAACGAGGGCACTTTAGGAAAATACATCCTCAGTGGGAAGCAATTGCTTACAACTTCTCTGCAGGGAGCCCGAGGTTTGGAGAGCAGCAAAGCCTCGGGGAGGAAAAGAGGTCAAGTGCTGATGTTGGGACCTGAAAAAAAAAAAAAAAAACAAAAAAACCACAGCTCTTGGAAAATGAGGGGTAGGAAGCCTGAAAGACAAACAGGCAGACAAGACAGCATGAGGGCAGAGGGAAAGAGAGAGCTTTGCTCTCACATCAGAGGGCCTGGGGTGCACCTGAGAGGATGATTTACTGAACAACTGGAAATCAAGCACGGGGGTGGACTCTGAACAGCACAAAAAGACTCAGACAAGGTGAGGCAGCGCAGGCAGAGAAACCCAGGGAGGTGCAGTTATTGCTTTGTCTAAATGCTCCTCTCCTCATGCTAACCAGGGTGAGGAGAAATTGCTCTGGCAGCCTTGCAAAGAAACCTGATTTGTTTGCCCTGCTACCACATGCCACTGAAAACATGGCTCATAAATCCAGGGCGTGATAGGGGCTCTGCAGAATTGTTTGTATCAGCTGCTGGGGATCAGGAAGGCTGGCTGGGCTGCAAGGGAAGATTTGTCAAAGAGCAACAAGAGGAGTCTGCCTTCCTCACCTGGGCAAGGCAGAGCAAGGGTGCCCAGACCTGGGGCAGAAAAGAAGGTTATTTCACCCCCCCCCCCAAAAAAAAAAAAGGTGGTTTCACAAAGCAGGACTAAAAAACCTAAGCTCCACAGCCCTGGTCACACACTGATCTGTAGTTCAGTGCCCCCCTCCTTCCAAGGGATGTCACTGTGATGACAAGCTGCCACTGAAACGTGTGACATTGTCTGGGGCATCTGGACACTCCTTTCCCCTCCAGTTCCAACGAGGCACCCAGAGCAACAATTCAGCTTTGAAACCCTTGTCTTATATGAAGACCTCTTTATAAATCACTAAACAAAGAAGAAACAACGGGAAACAAACCAAAAAAAAAAAAACAAAACAAACCACCAAACCCCAAACTGATTTATCTGGTCTGTGGGAATTGAACACAGCAGCTGTTTTATCAGCAACAGCACCTGCACACCATCTTGTCAGGGAAAAAACTGCATCCAGTGAATAGCCTGCCTGACTTAAGGCACTAGTAAAACTCCTCTCCACCTTCCTTCTTACAATAATAATTTTAATTGTTTCAATTATTTCCATCTAATCTCCTTGATAAATGTTTTTAAATATAAACCCAGCCTGAGGTCCATATGTTATTAAAAAAAAAAAAATAAATGCAAACAGAGAGTGGGGGAAAAAAAAAAAAAAAAGACAAACCCAACAAGCTGCACAGAATTAACAAGCTGAAAGAATTAATTGTAGCATGGGATTTTGGAGGCATCAAACACCCCTCCTACTCTGTGCTGCTGATTTCAGGGATTTCCAGTGCTGGAAGGAACATTTTCTTCAATGCACAGCAGGCTGTTTGCAATGGTCTATTTAGGCACTATTATTATTATTATTATTATTATTATTATTATTATTATTATTATTATTATTATTATTAAGCTCTGTGGATATCCAGCCAACCTGTGCCCTGCCAGGGAGCAGGGAAGGGACAATGAGTTGTTCTGAGCCCAACTCAGCATCTCCTCAGGAAATTCCTCCCAGAAGGGCAATTCTCAGAGCAAGAGAGTTCCTAACTTTGTGGAGATACCAAGAAAACACTTGGATCAGATGGATATTTTCTGCCAGGGGGTGGAGGACAGGAGGGGGCTCATCTGCCACGGGGACCCCGTGTACAGATGATGGAAGTGGAGAAGCAAAATGCACCAGACCTGCTCTGCTTCCCTGAGTATCATTAGCAACTCCTGGAAAATTTGTGGAGCTTCTGCTGCTGACAAAAAGGGTCCCCTGAGCTGGCTGAAGGAGCCTGATAATGAATTTGCACGCAGTAAATTAGCCTGTGGATATTTTTCCACCGGGCTGCTCGCCTCGGCTCCCATGGAAATGCGCTGGGGGCTCAGGACTCCCTCCCCCTTTGCTCCTGCCATCTCCTGCCAAAAGGCTGGGAGAGCATTGCTGCCACTATCTGCAGCCATCAGGCTGGAGCAGAGGGGCCATCATCCCGAAATCTCTCCCCTGTGCCCCAGCACAGTGGGAGCCACAACAACTTCCCTGCGTCTGAAGCTCCGCAGAGAGCAGAGCTGAGACACCGCGAGCTGTCGGCTGGGATGTGCTTATTAAATAAAATTAATGCTAAAAGACAGAAACAGAATTCCCCTCCACTGCTGCAGGGCAGGTGTTTAATTCAGCATTTTATCCTATTTTCTCCTCTTTTTTTTTTTTTTTTCTTTTTGCCTGAAATATTTTTTTCCATCTCCAAGCAGCTCCAGTGCTACACAGACTGTCTATTCCCCTTCTGATGGTTCTCCCCCTCATTTGAAGCCATCTTTTTGTTGCTCCCCTTGACAGCAGTTCACTGTGATTTTATCTTTTCTATTAGGCAGTGATTGCAAAACCTCAGAGGGTTCATTAGGAGCTTGATAATCCCTCCAGATTTATGAGTCTAAATTGCTCACTCCCATCTCCAATCCCCATTTAAATATTACTAATTTCCTTAAACATCTCTTCCATCTGCCCAGGTTTTGTCTGATGTCACCTTTATGCAACAGCCCCTGCCAAAAATCCAGTTAGTTCTGCTAAGGGCTGGTCTTTTGGACAAAGTGGTAAAATAACCTGGGTAAACACACGAGTATCTTGTGAGAGTGAATGGCAACAGAACTCATTTCTTTCTCACCTGCCAGAACTGAGTTACACGAGATGAATGGGTTTCAAAGACAAATTTCACCTCAAGCAAATGCTTAGTCACACCCCTGCTCACAACTAGTGTGGGGGTGGAGGTGGGGAGCTTAATTTTAATAGTTATTTCTGTTGTCTGTGAACAGACTCCGCTGTGCTGGTGATGTGCAAACAGAAAGCCCTCACTGTGTGCACAGTCTGTGCCTCGGGGAGCAGAAAGCACAACTCCCAATCTCCATCACTGCCTGACTCCCCCCCCACCCAAGGTACATCCCTTCCTTTTCCATTCCTGCCCAGGGCTGAGCCATCCCATGGGGATGAACGGGATCGGTGAAGTTTGTTCTTGCTGGGCTGATGTGGAGCAAGGACCTTCGGATCAACCGCTGAGCAGGAACCTGGTGGCTTTTTCTATGTTCTCCCTATCCCCTTTTCCACTCTCTGCCCCAGTTGCTGCTCTCTTGGCTTTGCAACCCCTCCACTTCACTCCTTTCCCCCCTCCTCCTCTCCACTCCAGCTCTCCTGCCCACCCGTTTGGCTCCATCCCTTCCCGTCTGTCTCCCACCCAAACACAAAGCGTGATTCAGCTCTCGGCTTTCCTGGCACAGGCACACCCTGGCATAAATATTAATAGAAATTAGAGAATATGAGTATCACATGGGGCTGGGAGGCACCTGCACTCGACCCTCCAAGCCCATCTCAGGTTGCCATCAGCCCCACACCAGCGCTAATAGGCAGGTAGCTTGCCTCCTAGTAGCACTTCCCTCACACCACGTGGCAACTGCTGCAGCAGGAGAAGTTTCTCTGCTGTTTATTTTGGGTTTCCCCCTGCTGCTGCCTAAGCCCATTACGCCTTGTTTAGCACAGCGCTCTGGGGTTTAACCACACCATCCCCCCATTAATGTTATTAGTAGCTATAAAGCCAAACCACCACGGGCCCAGGCTGGAGATACACCCTGCTCTGCCTCCTGACTTTTATGGGCTCAGCATTCCTTTGTCCTGCAGAGCAGCTCTCAGAGACTCAGCAGGGAAGCAGCGTGAGTGCTGTGATGGCCTCTGGATACCCACCCCAGTGCAGCCTGGACTTTTGCCAGCACAGGGAATGCAGTCAGGGAGGGGTGACACTTCTGAATCAGGAACAACCCATCTGCTGGAGCTCCCCAGAGACCTGCACATCTCACTGCACCGCAGTCACAAAACCTACAAATCCCACCTTGGGATGCTGCACCGCATCAATCAGCTCTCACCTCCCAGAGACCAGGGCAAGCCTCTCCCCCTGACTGATGCTCAAGCTTTGCAGGGGAACTGCCCTCCTTGCCTCCCCCTTCCCTCTCCACTCAGAGCACGTGGCTCCTCCCGTGGGGTCAGGGGGATCAGCTCCCATTAACGCGACTCCGCACGCAGGCGGGAGAGAAGCTGCGAGCGACGTCTTACCAGATTAGTGAAGATATAGGTGTAATAGGCAGACGCCATTCCCAGCTCAGCTGCCTGTGAAGGAGAGGAAAGGAGATTAAACCAGAGCCTGACAATCTTCAATCTCCACTCCAGCAAGGCCCAGCCTGGGCCACGTTTGCTTTTCCATCCTTATCGCGCCGTG